CTCTAACATAATTCATACATCTACATTATAAACCTAATATAGGGTTTGGGGGTTTTAACCCCTAATACCTTTAAGGACTACTCTATAAAGGAGTGAAAATGAAACATTGCAAAAAATAAGAAGACTTGATGAGGGAGATGACTCTTTCCCTCTAGCTCCTCCTTCTCCTCTAGCTCCTCCTTCTCCTCCTTCTCTTCTTCTCCTTCCTTCAGCTTCTTTGTCTACTTTCTCTCTCAAAGAACCAAAAATTCCAACCAAATCAGTCCTCTTGAATGAGGGAAAGGCATCCCTATTTATAGAGTTTCAGGTCTTGGACAAGTTCGCGACCATGCTTGGGAAGTTTGCGGGCGCGATCTAGAGTAGGGAGGCTGCGGTTTTCAAGTGCTATCATTCTATTCTTCGTCCAAGGGGAGATCGCAAGCGGACTTCACGGTTACGATCCATGAGTCGAGGCTGTGATCTTTCTCGCGTGCTGGGAATTCGTGGACTGTGATTTGACTCGCGAAACTCTATGTTTCTCCTGAAGTTCACGGCTGGAACATCCAACAGGGCGACCGCGATCTTTGCTCTGCAGGCAGCGATCCTTGCTCGAACTGTGCGTGCTCCTTTCCCGAACGTGATCTTATTTGTCTAGCCTAGGATCTTTAGCTTTTGCCTCATTCTTGCAACACTTGTGCCGTTTTTAGTACCTAATCCGCATTTATTGTCTAATACACCCTAATATAACGATGTATTCTTCAAGGAACGAAATAGAGGTATAATTGACGATGAATCTTTCCATAAGCAAATGTAATGACCCAAAAAGAACCTAGATATGACTACTAAATAACACCAATTTAGGTGTTATTAGTACCTAAGTCCTATCCTAGGGGTATACGTCTGTCAAGTCAGTGCCCTAAATTGTACAATGTGCATCATAATCTAAACAAATACTATATAGAGGTTCTCCTCCAAAACCCTATCAATCACCAATTTCCTGCCTCCTGCGCATACAACAGAGGGGCCTTTAGGTCCAAATTTTTTTAATCCGCGTAGGCCATTGAGAGCAGCGTAAGACGGATGGGCTTTTATTAATTCACATGGCCCATTGAAATAGAAAAGGTACGGATGAGCTTTATTAGGTTAATTAAGAGCAGAAAAGAACAAATGAGCATTATTAACTATTGGATGGGTTAAACCCCGAATCTTAGGGGTCGTTTGCTTGTTGGATTTGAAAAATGAGGGTTTTGGCCAATAAAAACCTTGAGATTTATATTGGATTTATTGGATTATAGATTTGAAGAGTCTAATGTTTGCATGATAGATGTGATGATGGATTTGTGATGGGTTTGTTAAATAAATAACTAACCATCAAGGATTTGCAAATCCCAAATCAATATGTGGGATTTACAAGTCCGTGGGGGCCACGAATTTGGTTCCAAAATAAAGACCAAATCCGTGGACCCCACGGATTTAGCACCCTTCAACAAACAATGGACTTATGTTAAATCCATCAAACTTGGGATTTGGGTAACAAATCCATGACCCAAATCCAACAAGCAAACGACCCCTTAAACACCAAAAAATGCCAAATTTGAAAAAGGTACATCATGAAGTTTATTTTCACCGCATTGCAATTCTCATGTAATTATTAGTGCACTTTTTTTACCGTGTTCTCTCTACGCATATAAAGTACATTATTTAATATTGTTCGTTGTCATAAATAATTATTATGTATTACAATTTTACATAAAATATCATCTACTATAAGATTATCATATCTAATACGATATAATAACATATAATACTAAATTACTAATATAATGCTCATATAATAAGGTTGTCAAACATGTTCATACAGTGCGCCGGTTTAGCAAGTGATGATATGGTTCGACCGGTGGTACAACTGATTTGTGTCGGTTAATCTCAGTTTAATAAAATACATAGTAATGTGAAAACCTATTAACATCAAACTGAATTTAACCATATATAAAATATATTTCAAGACAATTTACTTACAATTTATATTCCTGTTTAAATAAAATACGAATGCAAGCGACATGACAACTATATCATATACTAATAGCAATTAATGATGTTGATGCTATTAATATTATCACATCTCTTTCACACAAAAAAAAAAATCCGCTCCCCCACTTTCCTCCAAATTCATCCCTTACATTATTATCTTATACTCAAACTATAATCCTACTTCAATAAGTTACGTGCATGTCCTAACCCCAAGGCCCAAACCCATCAAAATATGAAGATTATATATATAAACTAATTAAAAAATTATTAAAAGAATCTTTGAGGACTAAATTAAATCTATAAAATACAAATATTATATCATCTGTTTATTCCAAAATTTATATGGCATAGCAATAGTGGAATGACTTAATTTAATAGGAATTAAAAAAAGTGATTAAATTGAAATTCTTTTAATCAGTTCTTCAATCCTACTTCTAAACTTACTTTCCAAGTTTTACTACGGAGGCAATAGCGGTAATTATATATGCTGAAATTCTTATTTTAGAAAGAGTTAAACTATGCCCCTTATTTAATTACACACTTCCTACATTGTGCTAAGCACATATTCTGAGAGTTAACTTGATATAATTGTGAAACTAAATTATTGTTTGGCAGATATTTTAATACAAGGTTAGTCAACATGCAACCCCAACTTATCTCCGGTCTGACAATTCAAATTAAAGAGGAACATGACTATCCAATGTTGAGTTTCGAGGAAGTGGGTGTTAATTAATCACAAAACATATGCTATTCTTCGTCTCGATATGATAGTTATTGACAGAAAGTAAACTAACTAAAACACACAAACTCAAACTTTATCACTAAAGTTAAAATTTATATTAATATGTTTGTTTTACTTCTACAAGGTAATCAGTAATGATATTTGGGTGCAAATTTCCAAATGCCAAATCAAGGACTTTCAGCCACTATTTCGTGACCAGAGAGTCTACACTATCAAGAACTTTAAGATCAATATGACAATGGGAGATTACCTGCAAATTACAAACAAATTGGTCATCAAGTTTCAGATAAACACCAAGGCAGAAACATGCAACGATATTTCAGCTATACCAACTTACAAGTTTTGTTCATCAAACATGATGAGATTGACAAGAAGTGCAAGCAAAGGAAATTCCGTTCGGGTTCAAATTACTATTCTCAATTCAAACTTGCTTCAATTTTATGCATGTACAACCACAAACATTAGCTTCTAAAATTTATCGTTCTACATATGTTGTGGTCAGCTTATTCAGTATTCAAATTTACTAACAACTACTAAACTCACTGGAAAAGTATGAATTAAAAACGAAAACATCAAGATAATGCGAACATTATTAACATGCCAAGTGATTGTATATATAACATCCCAAAGCATATTTTATATAGTTTTTTTAGAATTCAAAGATTATACTACTAATGCATAAAAAAGAACATTTCCCTTAATAATTAGCAATGCAGGGTACTAATACCAACGAAAAACTTACATACATATTAAACTATTAAATTGGATATGGTTAAAATAAAGAGATTCCATGAGATTGGCATTTGTTGAGATTAAAAAAGGGATATGAGACTATGTTTTTCTTCTGCGCACCTATCTTACCTTATGAGACTATTTTTGTATTACTGATTGAATAATATTGAGCTTTTACATTTACAACCTAAAAAATGACATGTACTTCAACCATTGTTTTTATGTTATTACCATCATTATACATATTTAGGTTTAACCTTTGAGTTGCGGACAAAACAGGAGATGTTGGCACTGTTGTCATGGGTAGAGTGGGAGCTCAAATTTTTGGAATGTCGGCTGAAAGGCTATTCCAAGACAATGATAAAATTAGAGGACCACCACCTGCTCATCTATAAATTGAGAGAATGACGTCGAGTTCGACATTAAGCTGACATATTACAACATCGCTATTCCAACAAGTGAGTCTGCAAGGTGGAGGTATTGGATCGATCTGGTGCTACAGATGATGATGATGATGATGATATTCACAAGAAGAAAGACATTGTTTATGAGGAAGATGTAAAGACTGGTGATGGCTAGAAAGAACAAATTCAGAATATTATTTGTAACTTGGACGAGGTAAATTCTACTACAATGAAAAAGATTATTTGCATTCGGAAATATATTTTACCATCATTTTTTATGAAGGAAAACAATGAAGAGATAACTGAAATGCAAGAGAAGAAGGAAAAGTTAATTGATAGTGGGAGATAAATATATCGCTAATGGAGTTAAAGACGTTATTAATGGTGACAATGAGGTTGTTGCACATGTCGGAGGAAATTCAAAAAAGCCAAAAAGGAAACTTGCACTAATCTCTTACGATGAGGAGTATTAGAAGGGTCATTTTAATTTGTCTTTAGGATTCGGTTCCCTTGCATGAGATTTTTCTTTCATTTCCGTAAATGATTTTAGTCAATTAGTAGTTAAAATGTGAGAAAACAGTATGATACGATCATTTTGAATTATTGAACTATTTTAAAATTTGGATTCTGTTATTCTCCCAACCGATTTTAAAGTTTAGAGTATTTAAAGAACTTAGATGTTCTTATACTAATGCATAACTCGAATACATATTACTACTGTTATTTCCGTAATTGACAATTGAATCCGGCCAACTGGCCGGGCCATGACTAGTTTAAGGAAGGGAACACGCAATTGAACTGAAACTCGTCGATGAGATATTCCGTCAACCAAACACGTTGAGTTGAGGGTACCAACGTGACTCTGGTGTATTGTTTTTCATCAAGATTGAGGTACTTCAGACTTTTATGTCAACAGAAAACGAATCAATTCAAGACTGTTTCAGCATTTGGGATTTTTCATTTCGTTTTGGGCTAGGATCTGCTCGTTTTTCCATTGTTCTGCATGCCCCCCGTTGCAGACTGAGGCAGGAGCTGCAGAAGGATGGACCTCCGAAAATCCCCTCTCAATCAGACTTCCAATCCTATCCTTTTGACGTAAAAACGCTTAAATTCATCAACACAACGCAAAAGCTTCCGAGTCACCATGTCAAAAGCACAATCAAGGGCGTTACCCCTAAAACGTTAGTTCCTTGCAGTCTAAAGATACAAACAAAGCCAGCGCATAAATTTCTTGATTGTTCACTTGTCCCATTTTGCATCATCTGTTTAGAAAGAGCTACACCAGCATTCCATTCCATGATAACCCTACCTGACAAACATCACAGGATGGCCGTTCCACCAGTCTCAAGTCTCAACTCTTCTAAGACAGACCATCGGTCTAGTCTCGTCTCAATGGCATAAACTCACGATGAACACCACCTGCATTGAGCACCACTATCTCTAGATTGTCCCCCTGCACAAGGAAAACAACATGTACAGGTTTAGATAATATCTTATGTGGTCACTTGCTACAAAGATGTCAGATGACATTTACACATATATGATACTAAAAACAGCATTTCCTAAAGATCAAAGCTTTACTAATTAGCAAATCAGAGTGTGATTTCTTATCCATTTAGGTAGAAACACAAACACGGGAACTTACAGTGTGGATGTCTCTCTCAGTTGCAGAAGCAAAACAAGTTTTCACCAAATCAATTGCTTCGGATTGTGAAAGTGGAGTCACAGCATCCTGGAAAACAATAGCTTATTGAGTCGTGTATTTATAAGGGATTAACACGTGACCAGTGATATATAAGGGAACAATGTTTAGGGCTAGACCTGTGCAGGCAGCAAGAGAGGGCTTGGAGATTTCAACTGGTTGTCAAGGAAAGGCATGATAAGCACAGAACCAGAACCCTGGGCACTGTAACCTACCCTCTCATAGGAACCAACAGCATCGTACGTGTAAACACATCCCTTTCCTGAGGTGTCATAACGAGTGTATCATTTAGCTGACATAACACTTCAGAGTTCAACAGCAATCCACCACCATATCAATTTACCTTCGTTGTCAAGGCCACCAAGAACATTAAAGGTGTAGTAAGGGAAGAAGCGTTTGTAGTACAGAGTGTTGGAGAGTAGTTGACCCATTGCAGGGCAGCTCATTTGCTTATTATGTTGATGCTGATAGATCTGGCATTGAAATATGGGTTCAGCAAATAACCAAAGTATCCTATTTCGAGACTTCCCATTTGCTTATTTACAGAAAGCACAGAATTAGGGAAGTGAAAGTTAAACTATGTTATGAAGCCTACGCTCCCATGACCCAATACATTGAAACTAAAACTACTACTCTCACGGTTCAGTAACTCCATATAGACTGGATAACGGAAAGAAAAAAAATTAACTCACATTTCCTGAGCACTACAGAGCTTAGTGGCAAGCAAGCTAAACAAGTAACACTTAGATGATACTGCAACCATGAAATAAACAATTGTAACTGACAACTATATGTTCTGAGCCACTCACCAGGTGCCTGGCAGCCAATAGTTTTTGCAAGGCCTTCATATCAGCTTGAAATCCTGAAGAAGCTAATATACATTTGTCCGCTCTGAAAGCAGAAGAAACTCACAGAAGTAAGGCACTACCAGAATTCCCGGGGAGAAAAAAAACTAGCTAAGCTGTTTCTAGATGTAGTTAGACTCCCGCTAGAGCAATGATTTCTCATCTAAACGAAGTAGCATATCACAATATTCCCAACTAGCCACTTCAAACAGCCAAATTCGTAACCCTGGATGAGATTAGACTCTGGTTTCCAGTTTTACAAGTCTACATACAAAATGAATACACAACGCATATACTCACTTGTCGCAAAACAAAAACAACAACCTCAACAACGTATGATTCCCACGCTCAATTGCGACCACTGCCCAAACCAGATGCCTGACTCGGACTAAGACCTTACCTTAGAACAGATTACTTCCTACTTGCAGCCTAAGCCAAAATTGCCCATAGCCCAGACGCACAAAACAATAGTAAAATGACCTACAGCATCTAAACATTGCCAAACTCCAGCATCCGACACTTCCCAATTGACACATCGAACCTACCATTCCTGAACCACAAGAAGCGGGGGATGACAAAATGAACGAAGGAACAAAAATAGAGGGCTCGAACACGTACAGCTTGTAGATTTTGGAATGATCCCGGGTGAGAATATTGTAGCCGGTGGACATCCGAGTATCCGAGGCGATAACACAGTAATCGGCTCCAGCAATCGCAACACAGGATCTAACAAACATCCGCGGCATAAAGCATACCATTCAGCCAAAAAAATTATCGCCAAAGCTAAGAACAGATAGAAAAAATGGGAAGTGAGAAAACAGTACCCGCCATTGTTATCGTAGGGAGAAAATCTCGACATGGTGTAATATTCAGAGGAAATCAAACAGCGCAGATATTGAGCAGGGACGGAATAGCGAGGAACAAAGAAGGTCTCAGCCGAAAAAAGTTAAAGAGGATGCCCCTTATTTATTTCAGATCTCTCAACCTCTGTCTTTGGCTTCAAGAAAAGCCAAGCCGGAAAAGGCCATGGTACGACGCCGTGTCATATGGGCTGCGAAACACGGTCTGAGCCGGTATTATATTATATTATATTTTTTTGTTAATAGCATTTTCTACCCTTCTACTTTGATAAATTAAAAAATTTACCCCTCTACTAAATTTTGGCACAAACATGCCCTTTTAATATTAAATCGTAACAAGTTTACCCTTCCATCTAATTATCCGTTAAATAACCGTTAAATGGGTTGAGAAATGACTCAATTACCCCTCATTTAGTCATAATTTCAATTTTAATTATTTTATTACTTAGTTCAATATCAATTGATTAGAAAAACAAAACCCTAAAAATAATTAAGAAGCATGCGAGGCCGCTCGTCTCCCTGAACTCTCCCTGCCGCCTGCTCCCGCATCTCCGCGCCAGTGGCTCCTCCTCTCGCATCTCCTCTCCGGCGGCGGCTGGAGTAGAGAGACTTGCTAATCAACACCGCCCTTTGGAACTATATTAATCAGCGGCCGCAAACTTGTTGATTCTCGTCCCTTCTCTCCCTGGCTCCCTTCCGAAACCGCCAAATTGAATTCTTCCTATTATAAAAGTTGGAAGGGGCCAAAACCTAATTAGCCATTTCATCTCTAAAAATGAACCCTCCGCTTCTAATCCTTCTTCCTCACTGATTCCCCTATCCTTGTGAATTCCAATTTCAAGATCCCCCTTCTCCGCGTTTAAACGCTACCACTGCTGATTCGATCGCCTTCTGTTCGTTGGTTTGTTTGTTTGTTTGCTTGTACTTCTTCTTGTATTGTTCGTTAGGAGTCCATTACTGCTCGGGCATGAAAGTTCTTAGTCTGGCATTCTATGGCGGCGCTTGATTAGTATCGGTAGTTTGTTTTTTCCCCTTTGTATGAGCAAGTTTCCCTTCTATGGTAAACTACGAATGGCGGTGTTGATTCTCTCTACTCCAGCCGCCGCCGGCGAGGAGATGCGGAAGTAGGCGACAGGGGAGACTTCAGGGAGATGGGTTGTCTCTCGTATGTGGTATCGGGTGCTTCTGAATTACTTTAGGGGTTTTGTTTTTCTAATTAATTAATTTTGGACATAAATAATAAAATAATTAAAACTGGAATTAAGATTAAATGAGGGGCAATTAGGTCATTTTCCAGGCCATTTAACGGTCAATTAACGGATAATTAGATGGAAGGGTAGATTTGTTACGATTTAATATTAAAAGGGTATATTTGTGTCAAAATTTAGTGGAGGGGTACATTTGTTAATTTATCAAAGTAGAGGGGTATAAAATGCTATTAACCCTATATTTTTATATATATATATGTGGCTACTGCGGTGCACTAACTTTTTTGTAGGGGTGTTCAAATGGTTACCATGGTTATTACCAAACCAAATAAGGCTAAATTTTATTAACCATGGAATGCAATATCATAACCAAACCGTCCAAACTAATACAACAACCAAATTAACCAAACTAAAGTTTAATCGGTTTGGTTAATTGGTTAACCAGATTAACCAATCTAAAATTATATTATCATCAAGTGAGAAAATTTCGGTTAATTTATCAATTCACAATTTATATAATGAATAAAATATAAAAATCAACACATAGTTATAGTTGACCCTTAACATAAATACATGCAACTAAGACAATTATCTTACAGTTAGTATAGAAGTATTCACCTAACAAAAATTTATCACAATGGTATGGATTAATGAATTGTTGTGTTTGTTTGAATTGACTTAATGTATGAGATTTATCTAAATTAGGCGATCATATGTTGTGGTCTACACTCTACATATACAAATATACATTATCTGAACAATATCAAACTTTATATTTTATGAGTCTAAAAGGATGAACATTTAACTCTTGAGTGGTTATTCAAAGTATTAAGTATGTGTATATATTAGATATATAACTAATTATTTATCTGGTTAATTTGGTTTGGCTGGTTAGGTGTGTCTGAAACCAAACCAAACCACCTAAACCAAACAAGCTAAAAACTTTAACCAAACCAAACCGATTATCCAAATTAACCAAACCAAATTATCCAAATAGTACTGGTTAAAACGGTTACCATGGTAACCACACCGTTTGAACACCCCTACTTTTTCCATAATACATCAAATTTTGAACTTTAATTAGTACTCTCAATCTAATATGATGATATGACATAGAATTATAACAAATCAATCTATTACCTTAACCCCTTAACCTTCAATTTTGAATTCCAATGCAAAATCCCAAACTGTAAACCTAAACCCTAACCCTAATTCCTAAATCCTTCAAATTGAAGTAAATCTTAAATGATTTTTTTTTTCAAATTCGTGTGCTTCTTGTTCATAATATCATAAGCAACAATTGATACCGTTTTGACATGAATCGCATGCTCAGAATGATGATTATGAGATGGGTGCACTCAGTGGGTGCGCCGAATACGCCACTATATATATATATATATATATATATATATATATATATATATACGCACATTGTTATAAGAATCGAACCGGATCAACGGCTAGGTCAGTAGAACCCTCAAACCAGTTACGATAGTGGCGGGCTTTCCTGAGGTATCTAATAACCTTGTTTATGCTCGCTGCTGGCACACCTCTCCTAACTATTGCCCATTTATTCTGGAATAATCTCTTTAGGAGGGATAATTTTACATATTTCTCCCCCATGACCATAACAACAAAACTCCTAGGGTAGCAGTTCAGGCATCAGCTTCTCGAGAGCCTAAAAGAACAATTCGAAAGTGGCATTTTCTCTCCTTTTTGTGAAAGAGATTGGAGACCCGATTCACTGCTTGGATGATTACTGATGGACCAAACTATTTTTCACTGCTCAACATAAAACAGATGAACCACCAAGGTTTAACTGGTCCACTAGATCACTATTTTAACCATAATAATTAATTTTATATCTGCTTCCTTGGAATCACACGGTCCTTTTAAAACCAAAACTAGAATTAAAAAACTAAAAACCGGTTACTCCAAAACAACCCAAACCACATTTAAAAGTCAACTGACAATATTTAAGAATCTCACACGAAAAGCCCTAACACATGGGCAAATCACAATCCAAAATACTTCGAACAACTGAAACCGTGAACCTCCAGTACATACTCAACCATGAGACAAAATAATAAACTATTCTAACTCTGTCTCCTCACGAGCTCCCTGAGACCTAGTTCATGCTAGTACGACTGCTCGCCTCGTCCTGCCTCTTCTCAAAAAACCAAGTCCAATAACCTTTCCTCAGTCTGGTGAGTGAGAAGGGGTAAGACTAGCTCCAACCCAGCCACTCAAAATGCTATAAAGCCATATTTGGCTTTTTTCCTCCCTCCAACCCACAAAAAAATGGGAAGCAATAAATGGGTATTGGGTTTTTGGGAGTGAAATTTGGCTGGGTTTTGGGGTGGGAGTCAAATTTGGCTGCCAATAAAGTGGCCAGCATGTCAGCTGGCGGAGGAGGGCGCCGGGCGCACGCGCGCGTCCGGCGCCCTCCTCCGCCAGCTGACGTGCTGCCTTTTTTTTTTTTTTTCTTTTAATTTTTGTTGGTTGGGAATTTGTTTTGCCAATTTGTTTTGGATTTTTTTTTCCTCTATTCTCATTGGTTGTTTGTGATTCAATTTGAAATATAAATTTGAAATAATTGATGTAGTGACGAAAAAACGGTCATATTTTAACGGCCATAAAAAACGGTCATATTTTAACGGCCATATTTTTTCTTATATATTACAGCACTCTTCATAGATTTCTCTTCACTCATTCTCAGAGCATAAATCGCATTCTCTCAAATCGTCTCTCAAAATAGAAATATGACAGGCAAGAGAGGACCTAATTGGCATTCGAATGAAGATGAAATCTTGTGCAGAGCTTGGGTGTCGATATCAGAAGATGGAGCGGTTGGCACCAACCAGAAGTCTACAAGGTTGTGGGAAAGAGTGGCGGCAGAACATCAAAAATGGGATCCTACTACAATTCGTACTGCTATTGCAATGGAATCTCGAATGAGGATTATTTGCTATCACTGCAATGCTTGGAAGGGAGTTTTGGAAAGAGCACAAAGGCATCAATCGAGTGGCACGAACCAGTTTGATGTGGTATTCTTTTGGACCCTCAACTTGTGTATTTTCTTATTTTTTATGTGTCAATAAAAACTTCTCTAACCCATGTATTACATATTTTATTAGGAAAAGAAGGCAAGAAAAATATATAAGCAAGAGAATGGGAACAAGGCTTTTGATTTTGAGCATTGTTTCGACATTCTCCGAAATTGTCCAAAGTGGTACTCCAATCCTGACCTGCTTGTTAGTCCCATTCCACCTATGGGTCAAGGTTCCCAAAGTTCTCCCACAGGTTTTGGTTCTCAATCATCTCCCGTGGAAGGCCTTGATGACTTACCAGATGAAGGAGCTACGCCTTTCGTGTTGACTCGCCCTGAAGGACGCGACAAACAAAAGGCAGCAAAGAAGAAAGGTAAGGTAGTTGCTGAATCGTCAGACATATACACTACTCAACTGCTAGAGTTTGGTAATGATATGAGAGAGAGGCAAAAGTCGAGGATGGAGTACGAAAACAGAAAAATGAATGTTCAAGAGAGGAGACTAGAGCAGGAGAAAGAGGAATGGGCATACAAGAGGCAAGTGAGGGAGCGTGAAGCGGAAAAGTGGGCTGTGGAGAAGAAAGAGAGGGAAGCTGCAATACTTCAACAAAATGTAGCTATTCTGGAGAAGGATTTGTCAAAGATGACACCAAGAAAGAAGAGATTTTGGAGGCGTAAACAAAATGACATTTATGGGTACGATCAAGATGATCCCAACTCTTATCCAAGTGATGGCGGAGATGGAGATGGCGATGCAAGTGGTGGAGGAGATGGCGATGAAAGTGGTGGAGGAGATGGCGATTACTTTCCTGTCATGGATTATTAATTAGAAGAAGATCCTATTTGTACTCTATTGTCTTTACATCTTTAATGTGTTGTGTGTTCTCTTTCAGCTTTGTTATTTTCATGTGTCATGTGTACTCTTTGAACTTTGAGCAATTCCATGTGTAATAAAAACAAGTGTTATTGAAAGTTTGAAATACAAACAACCAAGCAACATGAAATACAATCACACACTAAAACTTGAAATACAATCACACACTAAAACTTGAAATACAAAAAACCAAGCAACATGAAATACAATCACACACTGAAACTTGAAATACAAACAACCAAGCAACACGAAGTAAAACAATGCTAGATATTGCCGTGCAAATTCCAAAGATGCTCAACCAAGTCATTTCTAAGCGCATGATGTGTTGTAGATGAGCGAAGCCTGTTATTTCTAGCCAAGTAATCAATTAGAGTTGATTGGTGTCGGTTGATTGGTTCAGGTTGTGCATGGACCTCATAATCAAGGTCATCATCCATCTCGTCATCAGAATCAACCTGCTCATCCTCGATTATCATGTTGTGTAATATAATGCACGTCAGCATTATATTGTTAAGCGTGACAACATCCCAAGCTCTTGCAGGGCCACGAACAATTGCCCATCTTGTTTGGAGGATTCCAAATGCCCGCTCTACATCTTTGCGGTGTGCTTCTTGATGTTGAGCAAACAAAGCCTCTTTGTTTGACCTTGGATTGCTGAAGGTCTTCACTAAAGTCGACCATGAGGGATAAATACCGTCAGCCAAATAATAACATTGATCATAAGCATGACCATTTACCTCAAACCGTACATGTGGAGCGCTTCCATTGACGATACGATCAAACACTAGAGACATCCCCAGAACATTTATATCGTTGTTCGATCCAGGTGTCCCAAAGAAAGCATGCCATATCCATGTGTTGTAGGAGGCCACCGCCTCCAGAATGATTGTTGGCCTATGCATGTGGCCGGTGTATTGTCCTGCCCAACCACTTGGACAATTCCTCCATTCCCAATGCATGCAGTCAATTGATCCAATCATTCCAGGAAAGCCACGGCTTGAGGCTTTACGGAGTAAGATCCTTAAATCAGCAGGAGTAGGTGCGCGAAGGTATGTGGCCCCGTACATGTTGATAATGTTGTTGCAAAACTTTCTGAAAACCTCCATCAAGGTGCTCTCACCCATACGAACATACTCATCAAGTTGATCAGCTGGAGAACCATATGCTAGCATGCGCATCGCACCAGTAAGCTTCTGCTCTGGAGATAGGGACAATTGACCAAAGCTATCACGCCTTAGAGCAAATGAGGGGTCAAACCTCACAATGTCGCCCATAATGCGATGGAATAATCTTGGCTGCATCCGATAGCGCCTTCTGAATATGCGAGCATTGTATACTGGATTTGGATCGAAGTAATCCCTCATAAGACGTCGATTACATTCGACCCTCTCACGATCAATGTAACGTCGGCTTGTAGTTTGACGGCGACTTGATGCACCTTCAGCCAGCCTCCGACCTATCAAACTCAAACGTAGGTGGTGAAACCTTTCGTACTCTTCGTTTTCTTCTTCTCCAGACGATGAGCTATCTGAGATACTCATGATGAATGTGTTTGTTTTAGAAATGGGAAGAAGTTTTAGTTGAGTTGATGAAAATGAAGAACTGTCATTTATAAAGACATTTGGTGCAAAAAATGACAAAAAAACGGTCGTAAAGTAACGGATACAAAAAACGGTCATATTTGGAGTGGTCCCGAAGTTTTAACGGTAATATTTTAACGGCTAATTTTTGAAAAAAAAAATTATCTCGGAATTTAAAAAAAATTACATCGAAAAATTTGTATTCAAAACTAATAACGAGCTATGAAAAAATTAAAGTGAAATATAAAAATTAGAGGTCAAATAAGTATGGTTTATTGAAATAAATTGAAAAAGGGAAATGGGAAGCTAAATTTAGCTTTTTATAGGGTTGGAGTGAAAAGTGGGTTTGGGGAGCTAAAAAGCCATATTTGGCCATTTGGGGAGCTAAATTCCCCTTTATGGGTTGGAGTTAGTCTAAGTCTCGTCATTATTTCCTCACTAACACATTATTAGAAATTACTTCCTCTTACTTGAAAGTCGTTCTCGCTTTCTTCATTAATACTTTAGTCCTTAATGGCTCATAGAAGATTCTCCACCTCTATCTTAACTTATCTACTTATTACTAGGGTCCACCACGTTACGTATTGCCATCCAGTCCACGCCTGGTCGACTACTGCTAGGGATGGCAAAAATATCCGTAACCGTGGATATCCGCCCAAATCCGACCTAATTTGGTAAGGTAAAAACCGAACCCGAAGAACTTTTAGTGGGTATGGGTAAAACCGAACCCGAATATTACGGGTAATGGGTGGGCATGGTTTTCTTACTATCCAACCCGAACCCGCCTGATTATACACAGACATGTGTATTTTGTCTAGAAATAATCAATATTTTTCTCTAACATATTTTATATTTAGCATATAAATATAATATTTTTATGAAATTGTGTTGTTTTAATTAATTTTCTTCATTCTAGTGAATTATTGTCGTACGTTTTGTCTTACATAACGTGAGAAAACGTGTGAATATTAGCATATTGGTTAGAGTTATAAAGAGAAACTATTACCCATGGATAACCGTGAGTACCCGAAACCCGAATGAGTATGGGCATGATTTGGATTTTCTACCCGTTTCTTATGTGGGTATGGGTTTGGGTAAAACCCGAACTACTTTGGATAGGGTAACAGATTTGCACCATCCGTCCCCGACCCGACCCATTGCCATCCCTAACTACTGCGTTACGTCTCGTCGTCCAACAATAACCTGATCATCTACTGCATCCAGTAGTGATCCAACCACCCGGAGTCCCCTTACTTTAATACCATCATCCATAAATCATCACACACATTCGTCCATACACATAAGCACACGCGTGCCTCGACTTTCAGTAAGCGGTGGAATACCTCAAATAAATAAACACGCATAACTCATAAATTAACGACATAACTTGAAATAAGTATGGTGCACAGCATAGTTCAGGTTAACTGGTTAAGGGAGTCATTTAAGAAACTACGGACCAAAATAGAATGTTTGGGTATAATTCGGGTCAAAATAAGGATTTTTGTTTTTGTCGTTGTTGTTGATATTGCCTTGTTGGTATTTTTGTAGATTAAAGGAAGAGCTGAACGCATAGAGAGAAAGAGGAGGCCGGCGCCGGTCGGCATGTGGAGCCTGTACGGATGGCTGTTCAACTTCATCTTCCTTATAGCAGTTATTAGCATCATCGGCTACGAGGTCAGTTTCATCTCTCTCATTCTCCTCCTCCTCCTCCTCCTCCTCCTCCTTTCTTTTTGTCGCTGGAATTGGAATCGGAGGCGTATTTTCGAGGAATTGATTTCGTTGGACGGAGGAGATTGAGTCGAGATTCGATTGTGATTGCAGTTAATGTGCCTCACGGATCTGGAGTTCGATTACATAAACCCGTACGATTCAGCTCGCCGGATAAACATGGTGGTGTTGCCGGAGTACATTACCCAGGCGGTGTTGTGCCTGTCCTTTCTGTTGACCGGCCACTGGGTGTTGTGCCTCATCTCGGTGCCTTACCTTTACTTCAATCTCACGCTGTAAGTTGATTCCTTTATTTTTGGCGTTTTCACCTGTTTACGTGGTATGAATTGGGAATCAGATGAATTGATCGGGAATTTCGAATTGATGAGATGGTTCGTGGTGTGGCAAATACTTTGTGCAATTGGCAGCTACTTGCAGAGGAAGCACTTGGTTGATGTGACGGAGATATATAACCAGCTGAGCAAGGAGAAAAGCCAGAGGCTTTTCAAGCTGGGCTATCTCGTCATTCTATTAGTCCTTTCTTTGTTCTGGTAATGTTGAATCGAAAAACCATGTTTCTGGGATATCTCCAACATTGTTGGGGCAGGGGCAGTCCTCCTAATGTTTGGATTTGTTTTGTTAGGTTGCTTTGGACCATCGCAGGGGAGGAATTTGATTAAACTTTGACAAAACCAAGGTATCCATTCTACTTGAATTGAGCCTATTTGTTCATTCGTTTGAGCACTGTCCGTTTCTGTAAGGGCAGATGGAGACATAAACTGCTTGCTTGGTTGGATACTACTTTCAGGGCTTCCACCGCAACCTGGTTTAAGTTAAGCTCTCGAAGAAACAAGCATTTGGATGATGTCAAACCTTTGTCTGTCTTTTCGGTCTTATTAGGTTAAGTCGCTTCTAATTTGTACTCTTATTATAGGCGTTCCTTTTATCCATGAATGGTCTTTAACCAAGCTAGTTAGAAGAATTCGGGCCTGTTTTGTGTGTTGCTTTTGGTTTCGGAGCAGATACTAATAGGTTTCAAGCAATTCCATGAAATTTCTTGTGGGGTGGAAGGTTTAACTGTCGAGCGGATCTTTCTTTACTTGCGGCAATAGAGAGAACTTAGCTTGTTGACTCAACTTAAAGTTATGCAACTAAAGTAGGTGGGAGTTGTGGATGTAGGAGGATATATTAACAAGTTGCCGTGAGTCGTCATGATGCGAACCCAAAAAAGTTATGGTTAACGACCTGATTGAGTTGTGAACATGTACTACCATTTTTAAGACGTTCGTGGCCCTGAGTAGTATTGAAGACCGCAATTTCCCATCTACTGAAGATATTGCTTGGGGGAACATCAATTTGGGGGAACATCAATGCTGCCATTCAACAAGAAAAAAATGGATGGAAAAGGGAGGAAGACGAAGAAAGTGAAGAATTGGGAGAGCTTGGTGCTCAACACGGAGAAGATCCTTCACTAGGAGGAGATGATGTTGAAGAAGTGATTAAATCACAAGGAATGATCTTGGTTGTGGTGTATGTTAATGAGCCAAATCAATGAACACCCAACCTCGAGAAACTCCTTGCAATGGATCCATTCGTCAAGACTTTTTGTTAAATTGAGGTCATACCATCATCAGTTCCTCCTGGTGGATGCAATGGTGGTCAATTCGTACAAAGCTACATGGTTTGGGGCAAAGAGAGGAAAGAATAAGGAAAGAAGAGGTCTACATAGGCACATCAGAGTCTCAAGATCGATCAAGTCCACGAGCCTTCAATCATGGTCGTACCAAATGCTTGAGACTTGAGACTTCAAATAACCAACAAAAACCACTTCAATGATGTCTTGGGATGGACTTGATGTGCATTATATTAGGGGTCGTTTGCTTCATGGATTTAAAAATGAGGGTTTTGTAATTTAAAAACCCAAGGATTTATCAAGGATTTGAGGCATCATGGATTTGTAACAATCCTTTGTTTGTTGGGATGTTTTTATCATGGATTTAAAGGTGCGGGATTTACTACTTGAAGTCAAAAATTACATTACTGCCCTTTTCTATATGTTTGACATGTTTATGATATGTACACAAAATAAGGACAACTTCAAAATTACCTTACTATCATTTTCTATATGTTTGACATGTTTATGATATGTACACAAAACAAGGACAATACATACTAATAAGCATAATGTTGCCACATGGACAATAATAATAAACGAGAAAATTTCGTTTTAACTTTTAACGTAACATAATCAATTACCAATTTTTTGTCCTCCTTTTCAAAAGTGACATATAACAACATATATTAGAATCAGGAGAACAAAGAATTACACGTTCCATGAAAAGGTCAAAGAAAACTAGAACACAAGAAATGATATAAAAAATCTAACTCATGTTTGCACATTAATTGAACGTTTATATTATTCATTTATTGTTAATTATAATGTATAATAGTTAAATTTGAGGGCAACCTTGGAATATTAAAAGTGCATGAGGGTATATGGGTAAAATCTCATCAAGGATTTATGCCATATTCCAAATCCCACATCAACATGTGGGATTTATAAGTCCGTGGGGTCCACGGATTTGGACCCTTAAAATCCGTGGGCCCCACGGATTTGGTCTCCAAAAAAGGTGCAAGCAAACAACGGATTGCACCTAAATCCTTGATAGTTGGTTTTTTGGTACCAAATCCATGTACCAAATCCTTGAAGCAAACAACCCCTTTAGTGAAACAATGATTAAAAAAGAGAAACACCCTATCAATTGTTTACCCAAAATAAAATAAAAACTTTTAAGATTATAAGAAGAGTGTAACTTATTGTAATGGGCATTTAAGAGGTTATTAGAGTTTGGGTGCTAATTGGTATTTTCCAAATGATAATTGTTTAATATCATTATCAAATGGATTGGAAAGAAAAACCCTACGGATTGTTTGTGTACAATTTCTCTGAGGGTGAGATAGTATGACTACTCCTAAAAGAGTTAGAAAAATGACACCCCTATTAATTATAAGTTTTTAAGGTAATTGATTTGTGTTGCATTTAATAATCTGTCTGAATTAAAAACTCATATTAATTACTTTCCCTTTTCAGTGCAATGATAGTTGTACCAATGCAATGGTTGTATGAGTGCAATGGTAGTTCAAAAAAAGGAATATAATTAATATGAGGTCAGTGTACATGTGCAATGATAGTTGTATCAGTTCAATGGTAGTTAAAAAAAAGGAACGTAATTCATATGAGTTTTTAATTTCTAAAATTATTAAATGCAACACGAATTTAATACTATAATTAACTATAATTAATAGAGTGTGTTATTTTTCCAACATAAAGGGGTTAGCAAGCTAACCGATCACATTTCTCTCTTATGCTTTTCTTTCTCTGTTCTCCATCGATTACACCCTCAATTTCTCTTCTTCCCAATCTCCGAATGCTTTCCATTAAATATGGGCTTCAATTTCTTCAACTCCCATTTCTTCCTTCTTTCCATCAATTTCATCAATCTCCTCATCGAGAAGAAAAGGAAGTGCTGGAAGAAAAGGTTGGGAAGGCGGCATCGGCGCCAGAGAGTAGCAAAGAGCCTCGACTGGATAAAATGAGTAGTAGGAAGAATTGACCGGCAGGGTTGTCTCATGATATTCGGAAGTCCTGTTCGAAAATTTAAAGTGATCCTAAAAAAATTTCTCCATAAATTTATTAAAAATAAAAATTATTAAATAATTATAAAAATATATATAAGTTCATAATATGATTATAAAAGGAATGAACTATATGTTTCCAGTTTGACCAAGAAACCAAGACCCAATTCCCAGTCCTAGTAGTGAGGGAAGAGAAAATGGATTAGCACAAAAATGGAATGGAGAAATTAAAATAGTCTAATTGATCGAGAGGTGGATGCGAGGTAGTCTAATGGATCGTGGAGACCCTGTTTAAAATCGAGACGTGGTCCAAATTGACTTTTAACTATAATAAAACTAAAATGATTATAATACCGTTATTCAAAATGTAATATTTTCTATGTAGTTCAAAATGAAATTATCTATTATCTCTTTGATTTTCCTATTCTCCATGAGCTCATTTTCAATTGTTATTATAGCTAAAATTATCTATTAAAGTCGTCATCATACTCATAATCAATCAATCATACACTAAAAATACAATCTACAATAGACAATCGATAACTGACGAATCAAAGTGGAGGCCCCTAATATTCGGAGGCCATGTGTCAGAGGACGGGCTAGCACACCCTCTTGGCCGGCCCTGTCGACCGGGAAGGCAATGTCGGTGTGATGGAGTAGTTGGGAGCTTCGCCAACGATGTTTATTTGATTTTTGTCCCAAGCTCCCAATTGCTCACTAATACTTTTTTAATTTTTTCAGTTGAATTTCTAAGTCGACTGCTAGGTTTGTTCGGTTCGATCAGGTCCCGATTTTATCTGTCAGACCGAACGGCTCAATTTGATTCTAACAACACTGTAAAAACTCTATGGTCGTATTCCATAAGGCTTTCTAACAATAGTTATTCAACAAAAACAAATGGGTTGAGGTTCCCTATTTTTAGTTGGTTTTCGAGATGCATATAAAGTAAATCATAATATAAAAGGGGTAAATGCCAAGTTTGGTTACTGGGTTTATTAAAATGTGTCATGTTTCGTCACTGAAAAAAATTAATATCAATTTTGATCACTCGAATTAGTAAAACGTTCCACATTTAGTCACTCTCCGTTAAGTTTGTCTGATGTGGCAGTCAACCTTAACAGTTGACCGTTAAATGTCTGACGTGGACATTAAAAAAGTAATAAAAAATAAATTTAATTCTTTTAATATTTCCACATCATTAAAATATAAAAATTAAAATCTTCCACCCCACTGGGTTTCTGATTAGGCTTCCCCTTGATTTGCCCTCATTTAATGGACTAATAATTACTTCACTTTAAACTACTATCTAGTCAACCAAACCAATAATGTTTATTTAAACTAACTAATTAGAAATAAATGACAACTAATTAGTGAGAGGATGATAGAGATGAGATAGTTACTTAGGATCGAATCCTTCTAGTAGTAGGAAGAGTAGATGATTTTGCAAGCCTTATCATGACTTACATATCTTCTACATTGGGAGAAAACTCTTAGATTAGTAATTGCTGCAATGATCATGTATCACATCCAAACTTCTAGGCAACTATGTTAACTCAAGGATCATGTAACTAACTAGCTACATAGAGCATTAGGTCCAAACTCTCTAATGAGATTTATCCCTTTGCAAATGCGGTCACAACTTAATGGTCATGTAATTGCAACCTCACAATATCGATGGGAGGCCAAAACTCTTCTTTTCTTGCTCCTATGCATTGACAAAATGACCGGATGAATCCCAAATCGATCCCCAATCAAATGATGATGAGTATAAACCCTTGAACATCATAAAAAACATCAAGCGAGCATAAAACATGACAAAATATGGTAGTTTTCCCATGAAAAGCTAGTAAAGCTAATGGTTTATGAACAGGAACTAATATTGACATAAATAGATCACAATGTGAGTTTAGTACAACGATTTTAGCACGAGAATGCCTAAATAAAGGGGGGAGAAAAGTGGCCAATTGAGGCATTATCATAGTCACCACCCTATTACCCCTCCCTCATTGGATTTCATATTTTACTTCAAACTTCCCAGTGACATTGTGCATATTCGATAGAAATTTTTTGCATCTTCATTTTCTTGTGACCCACTTCCAAATATTCATGTCGAGCATGGACAATAGAGAGGCATTGAGTTGCATGATTTGGAGATCAATGGCAGACTTCAAAGATCGTGCCCTTGATTTGCTCCAAGTTCCAGCACACTAAGTGAGAGAAACAAAGGCTTTTGAAGCTAGTAAGAGATAGAGACTTGAATGAAGGCTAAGAAGGGGGATTTTTCCATCTTAGGTGAAGATTTCTTCAAGCAAAGAAGAGCAAATTGAAGAGTGAATGAAGATTTCCTTCCTCCCTCTCATTATTTCTTCTTTCTTTTCATCTATGGGTTAAAACCCCTTGTACCGAGGTAAGATGAACCAAACCCTAGGATGTTTGTGAAATTGGATAATGACTTTGGTCACTAGTCTACTACTTCCTCAATCTATGGTATATTTGTCATAGGTTGGAGTAGTTAGTAGAGCGTGAACTGTGTGAGTATCTTCCCTTGGTGTGGGACTCCCAAAGAAAGCCGATATTTTTATTGGTGTTACGGATTTCAAATGCATTTATTCGAGAATGATTCAACCCTAATTAGACAAAATTTTGTTGACTTCGTCTTGCGTTTTCATCGAAAATATCACACATACTTGATCTATTGATTTCTCCTCCATTTCTATTCAAAATTTAGCATTTGGTCCACTTGTCAAGATGCCAACACAAATTTTGTTGAGTGATTGTGGCATTGATTTCGTGATCGGTGATGCCCAACCTCCTTCCTCTTCTGCCCTGTTGAAGCATCCAAAGAAAAGAAATGGCCGAAGTTGTCAGCATACATGTATTAGAAGAAAGCAAGGTCGAGTTTTAGAAACCAGGCGCATAAAATGATTGCATAGGTAAGAAGCTATATGTTCATTACATCCAAACTGGAAGCTCTGCTCAGCACAAACAAGCGCCTAAATGCTAAATGCTAATCCACCTAACAATAGCAACGATACAAATTAAGATAACAACACGATCCCTTCTAAAACTCTCAACACAACAACCCATGGAATACGAATCATGCCACTATGTCCGACATCTCTCTCAACTCGTAGTTCCTCCTACAACCTTAAAACTCTAGTACTAAACATTAATAAACAACAACTGATTTTCAACAAATCAATGCAGTCGGTTAGAGATCAAGACCCTTTGCGAGAAACATCCTCGGACTTCCATTCGGGGCTGGTTAAATTCAACCCTCCGGCAGCGAGATGTTGATATCAGTTCCTGAATTCCTATGATGATCTGACATCGATTGGAGAGCCGCCCAGGTGTCCCGCCGATGAAACGAGTTCTGCATATGTCCACCCATATTATTGTCATCTCTTTCCACATGATGGATCCCACCCATAGTGATCGCCGGAGCTTCTTGTGCAACAGAAATCGGAACGACGGAATGGTCCATCTTCACCTTCTTTGGTTTAGGAGGATCTGGCTGGTTGTTCCCTGGCAGGAAACTACCCACCACAACCTGGTAAAACCAACAACGACAACAACAAGATGAATCTTTTCTCTTTTAGAGTGTGTGTACTCCAAGATTATAGGAATGGGTCGCAACTGGCTAGAGAAAATGTAGATAGGATATAAATGATGCAATCATTCAACTCAACCATGTGCTCTTTTTAAATTGAGAATCTCTGTTTCACCCAAAAAAAAAATATGTCAAAGAAGCTCACTTGTACAGGAGTAGCAGCTATCAGGAGACCAGCAACGCTGCCCCCAACAACGCGGCCATCAGGGCTTGCCAGAGAGACACTCATCCCACCTGATCTGCTTCTCGAGCCTTGACTCTCAGTCGGCATAAATGATCCAGACAAGGAAAGTATTTCAAAGCGACCCTGTTAAATTCATGGAACATGAATTACAGTTAATTATAGGCTTAAGTTCATGAGCCAAGGGACAATTGAAACCAAGAGTGGTGAGAAGAATCAAAACCAGTAATACCTCATATGTCAGGGTACCCCCAGAAGAATCAGATTGACGAAGAGTAACATTCGAGATCACTCCATTCGCTGAAAGAATGCAAATGGCTCGAGGTCCTTGTTGTGAGAAAGATATGACCTTCATTGTGACATCCTTTGATCACCAAGAAAAATTATAAAACTGAAATGAGGTGGCAAATGAGAGAGCCTTACAGCAATATATAGGCCCAGAAGATGCAACCTTCCTAGGGAAAAAGTATCGACTACATATGCCTACAACTATGCAAAACTTGAAAGAACAGTGGATTGCATCAATGTTAAAGACATAATTCATGCATAATTAAGCTCCTAGAGTCAAAGTTGTATGATATGCAATCATAACAGTGCCCACCATGGTTGATTTAGGTCAAGCATCTAAAAGTTACTTGGTGTTGTAAGTACTTCAGATACAACTGCCTACTGACTGTTTTCGTTCTAGAATTGGGACACGGTAGAAGAGCCTGAAATATAGATTTGAATTGACAACTTAAAGCTCCAACTTTCTCTACCCTAAGAGGAGGGGGTGAAGAAACAAAATCCAGGTACTTTCAAAGAAGCACATACCTCGCCGGCATTAACAGGGATGACATGGGGGGTAAAATTTGTGCCAACAGACTGAGGACCCCAATCATCTAGAAAGCAGAGAGAAAAGAAACATCAGGTTATCTGAATGTCAAACTTTATGGTACAAGTAAATTCCGTTTATGTAGTTCATGATCTTTGCTAGCTACTTATGCTAAATTAAGCAACCTTGACTTTTGCTATGATGACAAGTACAACAACCATGGCAATGGGAAATCCCATTTGGCAATTGGCATACAGAAAAAAAAATGGAAAGAAATTTAAGAGAAGGGCAGAGGAAACAGATATCACAGTCTAAGCACACATATCAATCTATCTATAATCTATATTTAGCAGAGAACTTCTATAAAAGGGTTAACTAGATCTTAAGTGTGATTGTTCCCACTTAAAACATGATGCAGATACTCAAAACGTTGTTGATGCTACTTGCATTTGCCACGAACGATGAGCAGAAAACACAATCCAATGAAACAAAATCCAGCATTGGCAATAGAGAAATAAGCAGTGAAACCTCATGAGGAATAATAGGAAAACAGAATAATACCCTTTGGTGCATACAATCAGCAAAAATAAAGGGAAAAAGTCCAAATGAACAAACAAAAGACAAAATGGAAACAGAATAAAAAGATTCCCTTCGTTCCCATTGTATGTATTCTCAGCACAAGTATCATATTGCCAAATCCTTGGAAAAACATATCTCCCGCTTCAAAAATGGTCCCCCGTCAAGAACAGGTTGGCGGGATGAATTCAGTCATGGGGAGAATTCAAACCTTGGACCAACAAAGACCCCATCTGACATAACTTCATGACCGCATTATGATTAGGATTAGCAAGTTGTGCTAATCCTAATAAAGGGGAAGAAACAAGTAACAGATGTTTTTCAACAGGCAAGCATTGCATTGTAATCATTCATTCAATGCTCTGCGTATATTAGATGTTATCGAAAAGAAGAAGAAGAAGAAGAGAATTACCAAGATTCTCCATTCCAATTTTCTTGTGCTTCTTTTTCTCGTACCCAGCTGACAGCACTTTACTGGGTTTCCCCACAACAGAGTGAGAGTTAGAGTAGTCTCCAGCCACAGTTGAGGCAGGTGGGGCCGAAGCAGAGATCGGCAGTGGCGATAAAGCTCTGCTCCCAACCCCATCCGGTGCATACTTCCTCGGCCTACCCCGCTTCTTCTTCTCTCCGCCGCCGCCGCTGACCGGAGAAGACAGCACCATCTGCTGCTGGTGCTGCGGAACCCCAACACCGACCTGGTTAGGGTTTTCGCTCCTCTGAGCTACATGGTAATTGGACGGCGTTTCAGCTCCTATCACCGTCACCCCTGAACTTAGCCCTTCTCGAGTTTCCATGCGTACACAATCCCCGGCGACTTACTAGTGGCTCATTTCTGGGCGTCTGCAGTGATAAAGGAAACTCAAATGAAAGGAATGAGTTTCCCAGAACGAACTCTAACATGCAAAAGATGGAAGCTTTAGAACCAACTCTGGAAAGGGGAAGATTCAATTTAAACAGTAAAATGAAATCAAAATGTCTTCCTGCATTCTTCCACTCAAATCAACACACACAGACGACAATATATGTACTAGAAGGGATTAAAGACTAAACAGGGTACTGAGCTAGCTACAGAGTTTCTACCTAACTTAGAAATGTAATCTCCTGGAGATCGATTCAGCGGCGAAATGCGAAAAGGAATGAGGAGGGAACAAAAGAAATACGGTACGCCGGAAAACAAGAAGGAAAGGGCAAAAAAGAGAGGGGGTTAAGACTTAAGGTCGAGGATCATGACCTGTAACTGCAGCCCTGTTCCCCCCACAAACTGGAAAGAAGATCCACCTTCCCTCCCTCCCTCCTTTTTTTCCTCTGCAACTCGAACCGTCGAGTCGTGGGGCTCTTTTCAGTCTCTCGCACAGCCTTTCCTTCTTCTTCTTCGTCTTCTTCTTTTCCTTTGCTAGTTTGCTTCCCCTATTTTTTTTTCCTTCTCACATTAACCTGCTGAGAGAGAGCTTAAGCACAGTACTAATAGAAGTAAGCAATTATTTGCTAAACCCAATAATTCAATTCATTTAAGAGGAATTTCGCGTCCGGGAACGGGAAATGTAAGCCAGATTCTTTTTATTTTTTTGTTTGGGTTTCCTCCAAGTTTGAATTTTGAAGGGGTTTTCATTTACGCCACTAGCCAAGCAGACCAGACCAGGGGTCGATGTGTAATTTGCAGGACAGGTTTTTGAAAACCGAAAAAGTAATTGCCATTTCACTTTTTAATTTGAATAATAATTGATTTATGGCACTCGTTTCGGTTTAAATGACAAAAGGCTGCAGGAAGGAAGACCAAACTTTTTGTCATTTTCCGTCAACCTAACGTTTGTCCTAATTTTATCCTTATTAAGGGAATATTGTTATAAAACTAATAAAAAATGTAAACAATTACAAGAGAAGATTAGAGAGGGAAAGACACAAGAGTAGTGAGGAGAATAGTTCTTCTTATTCATACTTCATTTGTGATATAATAGTGTGCTCTATTTATAGGCACATTTTGGTAACCACTACATATTTACATCAATGCATATGAATTAGAGATAATAATATAAACTCCCAAGTGAGCATCTAATGTGGTAGGTCATTGGTCATCCATATATAAATATTTACATAATACTCCCCCTTGGATGACCACTAGATTGCATTATTACGCCATCTCATGCTGCCTCAATTAAAACCTTACCAGGAAAACCCAGTAGGAAAAATCATGGTTAAGGGAAAAAGTGTGCAGCACGTATATGCTCCCCCTCATGACCACATCAGCTCAGGTCTTTGAGTCGCCGAACTCCAATTTCACGAACAAGCTTTACAAAGATTGTCGTCGGGAGTGACTTGGTGAATAAATCTGCTAGATTCTCATTTGAACGAACTTTTTGAACAATTATTTCACCACTCTTTTGAAGATCATGAGTGAAAAAGAACTTGGGTGGAATATGTTTTGTTCTATCTCCTTTAATTGAGCAATGCATGTTGCATTATCTTCATACATGATCGTTGGGATCATTTTTCCTAGAGATAGTCCACACGATTCTCTGATGTGTCGAATTATAGATCTTAACCAAACACATTCACGAAATGCCTCGTGAATTGCTAAGATTTCACATAATTGGATGATGTGGCTGTTATAGTTTGTTTTGTGGATCGCCACGAAATGGTTGTACCACCACAAGTGAACAAATATCCTGTCTGAGATCTACCATTGTGGGGATCTAAGAGATATCCTGCATCTGCATATCCCACTAAATCCATCTTCGATGCACTCGAATAGAACAAGCCCATATCCGCCCTTCCTCGAAGGTAACGAAGTAAATGTTTAACTCCATTCCAATGTCTTTTAGTGGGAGAAGAGCAATATCTTGCCAATATATTCACAGCAAACGATATATAGGGTCGTGTGTGACTGGCTAGATACATTAATGCTCCTATCGCACTAAGATATGGCACTTCAAGGCCAAGCAGATCTTCATCACTTTCTCGAGGTCTAAATGGATCTCTTTTCACATCAAGTGATCGTACAACCATTGGATTACTCAACGGGTGTGATTTGCCCATATAAAATCGCTTAAGCACCTTTTCAACATATCCTTCTTGATGCACAAAAACATCATCCTACAAATGTTCAATTTGTAATCCAAGACAAAACTTTGTTCTTCCTAAATCTTTCATTTCAAACTCTTTCTTCAAGCAATCAACTACTTTTGGAAGCTCTTCGGGAGTTCCAATGATGTTTATGTCATCAACATAAACTGATATTATAACAAACTCACTACCCGATCTCTTTAGAAAAACACATGGACAAATAAGGTCATTCTTGTATCCTTCTTTCATCAAATATTTACTGAGATGATTGTACCACATTCGTCCAGATTGTTTCAATCCATACAAGGATTTGTTCAATTTGATAGAAAAATTTTCTCGAGAATGTGTTTTGTTTGCTTCTGGCAAAGTGAATCCTTCAGGGAGTTTCATATATATATATATATCATTCTCAAGTGATCCATACAAATAGGTTGTCACAACATCCATTAGACACAGATCTAGCAGATCTAGTCCTTCTCGAACTGCTAGACTAATCAATTATCAAAACGTAGTTGCATCCACCACAGGGGAGTATGTCTCCTCATAATCAATGTCAGGTCTCTGTGAGAATTCTTGTGCGACAAGACGTGCTTTATATCTCACGACTTCACCCTTTTCATTTCTTTTCCGCACAAAAACCCATTTGTATCACACTGGCTTTACGTTTTCTGGTGTAAGTACTACCAGTCCAAAAACCTTTTGCTTTGAAAGCAAGTTTAATTCCGCCTCAATGGCCTCTTTCCACTTTGGCCAATCATCTCTTGACTTGCATTCATCAATAGATCTTGGTTCATGATCCTCATTTTCATTCATCACACTCAACGCTGCAGCGTAAGCAAAAACATCGCCGACGATTATTTCACTTCGGTTCCAACATTTTCCATCCAAGACATAATTGATTGAGATCTCTTCATTATCAAAACTTTCAGGTACCTGATGTTCTTCGGGAACTACAATCTTAGTTATGATTGGGGAATCTTCTTGAGCTTTCATATCCTCGATTTGACCAACTTGATTCATAGCACCGTTTCTTTTTCGAGGATTTTTATCCTTGGAACCTACTGATCTACCACGCTTCATTCGTGGTTTAGATTCATTTGAAATTTCAGATTGTCCAACAGTCAGGCCCGGCCTAGACCCTGTGCTGGCCTGATCTACAGCACAGGGCCTCAAAATGTATGGGGCCTCAGCCCGGCTCGTATACAGGACATGTATATTAAAAAAAGTTAACCTGATGGCTCTTCTCAATCTAATGGGCCGGCCCTGCCATGGAGTTAGAGAAGCAATGGACTGTCGGGCCGGGCTGAAATGAAAATGGGATGTGCGGCTGGTTATTGGCTAATTGGATTAGTACTTCGAAATTTGTTTATTTTTTGTGACAGTGATTTTGCTTGGGCCGGCTCTTCATACTCTTTTTTTTGGGTAGAAGCTCTTCATACTCTTTTTTTTTTTTTTGCCATAGATATTCCAAAACGGAACCACAAGATACGAGTATATACATACAGCGACCAAAGTCAAACTAACTGAGAAGTAAAGGACGCCGGTCAACCAGAAGTCGAACCCGCGATAAGAGGGCATCTTTCGCCACGATATGGGCAGCCCTGTTGTACCTTCGTGGTGCAAAGTGAAACGAGACACGTTGAAAAGAGGCACTGAGGACGAGCACCTCGTTCAGAATGGCGCCCCCCGACCCGTGCGACGAATCCTTCGCATTGACCATCCGAATGATCACCTGCGCATCGCCACAAAATGCAACATTAGAAAATGAGTGATTGAGACACCAACGTAATGCATCGCGTAGAGCTATGAGTTCAACAAGGAACGGATCAAAGATGTAATCATAAAACCGTCCCAGTGCAAAAGCGACGGCGCCTCCTGGCTCGAAACCCACGAAACCAACTCCGCCTCCCACTAAATCTTTAGTCGCCCCATCAAAGTGGACAAGCAGCCCATCCGTAGGACAAGGAGGGGGAGAAGAAGGCCCAGGGGGATGCCGCTGCCCGCGATGGTCCACCGTCCGCCGAGACGCTGAGCTCGACTGCACGAGCTCCCATTCTGCCAGCTGCGAATCGAATTGGCGTACAAGTACAGGAGGGAGAAAGACCATATGATCATATGCCGCCCAACACCGTCCTTTCCAAATGCGCCAAAATCCGAACACCAATCGAGCAACCTCCTGTGATGTAAGACCTGCATCGAAAAAAATTCTCCTCCAACCAATTGCAATATGGCAACCATGAAAGTGAACGAGGAGATGATCAAACCCCAGCAACTGCCAGACCGACTCAGCAATTCGGCACTGGAAGAAACAGTGGAACAGGGATTCAGGGGCAGCAGAACAAATAGGGCACAAAACCCCTTCTTCGTCATCTTCAGGAATAATGTCCTTGTCCTGCAGGACGACACGAACCGGCAGAAATCCAAGGACTAGCCGCCACAAAAAGAAACGTAGTTTGGGTGGGATTTTCAAAGACCACAAGAACTTCCAAGTCTTAGAATCAACTAAAGTAGGGATAGTGGAAGGATTAGCAATGAACTCAGCAGAAGCTAGGTGATAACCGGACTTCACAGTGTACTCACCTGAGGTATCATAATGCCAGATTAGGCGATCGGCGACGGGGAAACTCGGGAGTGGTATGCTGCTAATGAGGCGCACCGTAGCAGCATCAAAAAGCTCAGCTAATACACCCAAATTCCAAGCTCCTGTACCTTGTAGAATAAGACATGAAACGTATGGAAACGGCGGAACAACATTGGGAAGGAGCTGAGGTCTGGTGGGCGGCGTCGTAGGCAACCACACATCCTCGGAGATGCGAACTGACGTCCCTGATCCAATGCGCCAGCGCAATCCTTGAAGAAGCAAATGACGACCAGCAAGAATTCCTTGCCATGCCCAAGACGGGCGGGAACCCGGCGAAGCAAGTAAGAAAGAAGTATGAGGAAAGTAACGACACTTGTAAGTAGTAGCGAGAAGCCCGTCTGGTTCCTGAATGATCCGCCATGCTTGCTTCGCTAATAACGCCAAGTTATTGCTATCGAAGTCCCGAAACCCCAATCCTCCATCACATTTAGGCCTGCATAGCGAACGCCAAGAAGTCCATCTTATGCCTGAATCCCGATCCTGCTGAGCCCACCAGAACCTAGACAGGTGACCATTGAGCCGCCTACAAAAAGTTTGAGTTAGGCGAAAGCTTGACATGGCGTATATCGGGGATGCTGTGGCCACTGATTTCAAGAGAACTTCCTTAGCAGCAAGGGTCATAGATTTCGCTTTCCAATTCTGCAATCTCTGAACCAGCCTGTCTTCAATGAAAGCAAAGGATTCCTGCTTAGATCGAGCAATGCGAGTAGGAAGACCCAAATAGAAATCCTGGGGAGTACT